AATAAAATCTTAATCCATGTGTAGAATTTTGCCCCATTTAATGCTCAAAAATTTGCAAAGTCCGTTTGCCTTTGTCTTATAGTAAAAATAGGAGTGATATATGCGTATATATTTCTGATTTGTCTCTACAAAGATATTGTGATTATACAATTCTGTTGGTAAGAAAAGAAATTTAATAAAAGGTTGAAATGGACTATTTTTAAACGTTGTGTTGGCCCACCCTCTTTTGCTTCTTTGCACCTGGTGTAATCCATTTCTAAGGTCTTGTTAATCTTGTTTGTCTGCCAAAAGTGCTTTATCTTATTTTTCTTAACTACTTCTTTTATATTATCATCAAACATTGTAAAACATAACCTGTATATGAGTGCACCTAAGTGATTGATTATGAAAGAATGTGTTTATTTCTATTAACCATTGCTGGAGTGATAGCACAGCAGTAGGGCGTTTGCCTTGCATGCAGCCAACATGGCCGACCCGAATTCGATTCCTCCGCCCCTCTCGGAGAGCCCCACAAGCTACCGAGAGTATCTCGCCCGCATGGCAGAGCCTGGCAAGCTCCCCATTACGTATTCGATATGCCAGACACAGTAACAACAAAGTCTCCAATGGAGACGTTACTGGGCCCGCTCGAGCAAATCGATGATCAACGGGAGGGCCTTTATATTACATTTTACATTTTATGTGTGTGATATAGTGTTTGATATTTCTGGTAGTAGAAATTAATGGATTTCAACAATCTGTACTGCTATGTTTGGTTTAGATGCACAGATATAGAGAGAGCTCCCTTTAGACTAGCCTATGCAAATGATGAAATAATGATTTAGTATATTACCTGAGATATTTACTGTCAACAATTAGAATCACAGACTCAAAGTAGAGGGGAGAATCTTAAAACAACTGAACTGAAAGGACAAATTTAGACAATACCATTCAAGAAATAGGCCAAAATCTACTGGAGTTGTACTTGTGCATTCTGCTTTGAATTAAACAGAATTACGAATTCAAAGAATTATAAGTCCTCATAAAATGAGTTTATCAATATTTTTAAAAAGTTACAGTAGCTAAGATCTGAAAACAACCCAAGTACAATACACGAGTAGATGAATGAGTTTATATTTATATAAATGATATATGTATCATGCATGTGTATATGCATATAAACATATATATGTATATATATTTATATATATATATCTGTATGTCTGGTACTGGTACTGGTACTGTCCTCCCATTGTTCATCGATTTGCTCGAGCGGGCCCAGTAACGTCTCCATTTTGAGACTTGTTGTTACTGTGTTTGGCATATCGAATACGTCATGGGTAACTTGCCAGGCTTTGCCCTGTGGGCAAGATACTCTCGGTAGCTTGCTGGGCTCTTGGAGAGGGGCGGAGGAATCAAACTCGGATTGGCCGCGTGCAAGGCAAATGCCCTACCTGCTGTGCTATCGCTTCGGCAGCACATACACTAAAATTGGAATGATACAGAGAAGATAACAGTGTATCCTTAAAAATACCAGATTCAAGTCATTGAAATATAGAATCAAATGAGACTACTCCTTTTATTCACTCTCAAACAACACATTTGTAAAGAAATTGTATTAAAATGTTAATTAAAGGTAGGGAAAACTTCACAATACTAATTTCAGCAACAATGTCTTTACGGACACAAATCTAATAAAGGAATAAATAAAAAATAAACAATGAGGACTACTTCAAACAAAAAGGTTCTGCACATGGAAATAAACTATCAGTAAAGTAAATGGTGCTGTAATGATAGCACAGTGGGTAGGGCTTTTGCCTTGCACACACCTAACACAAGTTTGATCCCCAGCATCCCATATGGTCCTCCAGCACCGCCAGGAGTCATTCCTGAGTGCAGAGCCAGGAGTAACCCCTATGCATTGCAGGGTGTGACCCAAAAAGCAAAAATTAAAACAAATACATCCTGCTGAGCAGAAAAATATAATTGCACATAAAACAAAAAAGGGGTTATGTTTATTAAAAAAAACGTATAAAACTCAACACAAGAAATAATTTTGCCAAAAATTGCCAGAAGTGATTAATTGAGGGTTCTTCAAAAAAAACAGCCATGTGAAAAAATGCTGATTGCCACTGATTAGCATGGTAACACAAATCGAAATTATAATGAGACATCACGTCATAGCTGAGGAGGATAACCTATATCACAAACAGCAAAAGCAACTATTGGTTGCAAGTATATTAAGAGAAAATATCTACTTATATTTTTGGTTGGAGTATAAACTAGTTTACTCCATTTGAAATCAGTAGGGATATTTCTTAAAAATAGACTACCATCCCTGTCCCCGCCCCCCCCCCAAAAAAAAACCACAACAGACTTTGCACATGATCAGTCAGTTCCAATTTAAATATGTGAGGAATGTAACACAACAATTTGAAATAATCTATATAAACCTATGTTCATTGAAGCAGTATTTACACTACAACAGTCAACATAAGAAAGAACTAGAGGTCAAATTATACTTGAGGTAAGATGTTTTATACATACATATATATATATATATACTTAGGTATGTCATATATATGTTATACATATATTTATGCACAATGGACTATGGCTCAGATGTAAGAAAAGATGCAAACGTCATTTCTGACAATATGGATGGGACTGGAAAATGATATGCTTAGGGAAGTAAGTCAGAAGTGAATAAGGATATTTTGCTGATCTCACCCTAGGTGGGGCATAAAGAAATAAAGCAAGGGAACACAAACACACAATCCAAATCTAACCTCTGGGTTCAGGTTACAGCATTAGATTTAAGAGTGAAGAGGATATAGGAGATGCACAGCATGGAAGGAATGAAGAAAACTGAGGTGTTGGAATATGATGGTGACATGGTGACAACCTGATTTAAAACAGGTGCAAGAAAACACTCCTGAAACATGCACAATATTGGAAACTATTGTTTTCTAAACAATAATTCATTTTAAATACATTGATATAGTGCTATTAAAACTTTTTATTATAAATATCTATGATATGGTAACAAATCTGTGTATTACTGCAATAAATAAGATTTGGTATGCCATCATTTTAATGAATTCAGAATTACAAATATTTTGTTATGTATGCAAGTATTGAAAAATGAGATATATATTTCATTGGAAACAAAAGTGCAAGTGCTATTCTGTAATTTGTTAGTTATTTTCAAAACAGAAAGAATGCAAATATTTTGTTAAAATACAAATTTTCAACAATTCAAGCTCTTCTGAAAATACATAGAAACATAGATAAATGATAAAAATTCATAAAATTTATATCTTCCAAAATAAAATAATGTCTGCTCTATAGAGTCATGAAGGAACTGGCAGAGGAACCCAGGTGTGCGGGACCTGGGGCTGAGATCTCCAACCCTGCTCAGATTGGGACCAGGCCTCCTCCACCCAGATCCCTTTTCTTCCAGTGTGTAGGCGTCACACCCACCAACTACCCCAGCGCTGTGTTATCCCATTAACGGCCAAGACCCAGGGACTATAAAACCCAGCTCCCGGAAGCACTTGGCCTATAACACCCAGCTCCTGGAAGCACTTGGCCACATGTGCGGCCGCACGACCTCTTTTTGTCTAGTGTTCACTCTTGGAGAACCCGACAGGCTACCGAGGTATCCTGCCCCCACAGAAGAGTCTGGCAAGCTCCCTGTGGTGTATTCAATATGCCCAAACCCAGTAACAATGATGGGTCTCATTACCCTGACCCTCAAGGAACCTCCAATGTGACACTTGCTAAAATATCAGGGCTAAGACGAATGGGCATGTTACTGGTGCTTGCTCAAGGAAATCGATGAACAACAGGGTGACAGTGATACAGTGATAGAGTCGGAGTGATTTTGTTTACAGATAATACTTTATTTACACTGACACCCGATAGCACAGCGGTAGGGTGTTTGCCTTGTGCGCAGCCAGCCTGGCCGAGCCAGGTTCTATTCCTCTGCCCCTCTCCGAGGGCCCGGCAAGCTACCAAGCGTCTCTCTCCCACACGGATATGCCAAACACAATAACAAGAAGTCTCAAAATGAAAACAAAGTCTCAAAATGGAAACGTTACTGGGCCCACTCGAGCAAAATCAATGAACAATGGGAGGACAGTGACAGTGACACTGCAAATATTAGATAAATAAAATGCAAAATAAAGGCACCAAAAAAAATCACCATATTCTGACTTGGTATGGGTAATGTGTCTGTGCCCCTTCGTTGAGAGTTGATTTGAACATGATTGAGTATATCAAATTTAAGCATGAGGACTAGAGACTCTAGTCACAGGAATCCAACAGGTAAAAGTCCAATAGACAAGAAAAATGATTTTTCTCTTGGAGATCAATAAAAAGAAATAAAATAAAACTAGAACTTAGTCTAAAAGCTAATATTATTGCTGTTCTGTTATTGTTGCTGTTTGGTCTGAAATGAAAAGATAGAACCAATTTTTCAATTTCTGTCACATAATGACTATCCAACCAATAAAGCAGGCACTTAAGAAATACCCCCTCTCTACTCTGATTGAGTATCTATTGTTTCAAACTAATCTTCCTAAACTTTACAGTTGCACATAATTAGCAACCTGGATTTCCTGATTTCTTAACTTGGTTTTGGATTTTAAAGAAACATACTTTCTCAAGCAACATAAATTCTCATTTTTAGATATTCTAAAACTTTAACTTTTATTAAGGAAGAAGAAGAGATAATTTTTCTACACAGGTCCTGATGATAATTAAGTATTCTAAGGTGCTTTACACAGAATCAAGGCCATTTGTTTGTTTATACAAAACAAGGACTGGGATTTTGAGATGTTTTCAAGATCAGTTCTGTAATGTTTACAAGTGTTCTTTCAAAAATGCTTCAGGCTCATGGTTGTGGAAAGCTGTCTACTCTTCCTTTGTTTAGTAAGTGGCTGATTTTTATATGGTGTCACTACTGCTATGCCCGTGATGAAATTTTATTTGAAGTGATGTCTTTCATTTTTTTTCAGCTTACTCCGGTTGGTACCACAATATTTACAGGATTTTCAGGAGACAATGGAGCTACAGACATAGATGACGGTCCAAATGGACAGATAGAATATGTTATTCAATATAATCCAGATGATCCGGTATGTAAATGCCTCTTAACAATGTGATTTCCTAAAAGGAATTAAAATTATATTTATTGATACATTACCGTATTATTTTTCATCTCCAAAACTATATTAATAATGATTACTAGAAAAAAATTAAAACATATTTTAAAATTTACATTTAAATTTTAAAAGCTAGTTTTGTTATATTTATAGGTAAAATTTAAATATCTTTCAATACATTAAGTATATTTTATCATAGTTTGACATTTTTTCTTGATTTCTACCTTATTTTAGACTCTCTAGTAAAGGCCCTCCCGTTGATCATCGATTTGCTCGAGCAGGCCCAGTAACGTCTCTATTGGAGACTTTGTTGTTACTGTGTCTGGCATATCGAATACGTCACGGGGAGCTTGCCAGGCTCTGCCATGAGGGCGAGATACTCCTGGTAGCTTGCCGGGCTCTCCGAGAGGGGCGGAGGAATCGAACTCGGGTCGGCCATGTTGGCTGTGTGCAAGGCAAATGCCCTACCGCTGTGCTATCGCTCCAGCCCACTAGCGTTCTAAATAAATTTCTTGAGATGATATAATCAATGTGATACATATGTGTCATAAAACTATTACTGACAGTTCAACAATACAAGTTTTCTGATCATAGTTCTCATAAATCCAACCCCCCTCCTCCCCGCCCACCCACCACCACAGAATGAAATCTAAAATACTGAAGAGCACAAAATGTCTAGCTAGAGGCCATTTAGTTTTTGTTTTGGGGACCATCCCCATGTTTCTCCTGAGTGATTCCCGGGCATTGTTGGTCTTTCAGATATTGGGGATCTAGTAGGTGCTGGGGATTTAACCCAGATTTCCTGCGTACAGATCATGTACACATGCTCTTTGAACCATGTTTCTGACCCAAGGTATATGTTTGGTATATATATTTTTTTAATTAGCCAAGAAACCAAACATTGCCTTGGGGCAGGGCTGGGGAGGATTGGGGGAGTTGCTGGTTAAGTTGGATCACATCTGCTTGTGTTCTGTGCTCAGAGGTTTGCTCCTAGTGGTGAGTGGGGAACCAGATATGGTGCCAGTGATCAAACTGGCCAACCTCATTCAAGGCAACTGCTTTACCCTCAGTCCTATCTCTCTTGCCTTCTTCATCGCTTTGGACACGATGATATTTACTTCCATAACAGAGATGAAATCTAGAGCTGGCAGTGTTGTCTGCGACTCCTCCCTCATCCTTTTTACCCTTTTCCAGCTTCTCAAATACCCCAAAATATAGTTTCAAAATCAATTTTAAGAGTTACTTTAATTAGTGTTTTTCTTATACATTTTATACGAATGTAAAGTTGAGGTAACAGTATCATCATTTTAAAATTTGTGATTCTCACCAACACTTCAAAGCAACTTCAAATACTTGTTTTGTGCAAAGCTTGAGAGCTCACAATAAGATTTACTCACTAACTCATTATAAAAATTAAGTGAGTTGTGATGAATTTATCCCACTGTATTCTCAGAAATCATTTTGTAATAGAGTATGTATCCCAAAAGAGAGAACATATTCTCAGTGGCTAAGTGATTTGCCAGAGATTTTAGCAACTGCTAAGCTATTACAAGAACAATAACTTACAAGAAACACATAGACCACTCCCACTTTACTGCATTCTAATAAAATAGTTGGCACTTATCTCAAGCTTTTTCAAATTATTATTATTATTATTATTTTGCTTTTTTGGGGTCACGCCCAGAGATGCTCAGGGGTTACTCCTGCCTCTGCACTCAGTAATTACTCCTGGCGCTGCTCAGGGGACCATATGGGGTGCCGGGGATCGAACCCAGGTCAGCCTCATGCAAGGCTAACACTCTACCCGCTGTAATATCACTCCGGCCCCGCTTTTTCAAATTTTTTTATTAAAAAAAAAAACATTGAAGGAAAATTTGGGAAAATTGTGGTTTCTTCTTTTTTACCCTAAAAATTATGCCTTTACACGTTTGTTTGTAGTTAAAGACAACACGTTGTGAAGATCAAGAGAATGTATCAGGAAAGGACAATATGCATGAGAGGTGAACAATAGGTACAGTGGGCAGGGTCTTTGCCCTGGAAATTGGAAACAGCTGATTGCACTTTCTAGACCTAAGCAATTTTTTTTTCTTTTCTCTTTAGTTTTGTTCTTTTGTTTTCGTTTTTGGAAAGTTGAGGGTTGGGTTTTGCGGGGCCCACCCAGCAGTGCTCAGGATTCACTCCTGGCTTGAACTCGGGCATCCAGGGATCAGACGTCGGTTGCTGCTCCTTGCCCACTGCACAGTCACTCTTGCACCATTTTTAATTACTTTAAAAACCTAAATTATTTTAAATCTAGGTCTTTAAAATAATTTTAAGTGTATGCCATGTTTCCAGTTGATGTTTTAGGAAGGTCATGTTTACAGTTGAAACAACATGCTACTATGTATAGAATGCTCAGGTCACATATTTCAGGCGTTACATTGTGTTAATTAAAAAAAATCCAAAGATAATATGCAGTGTGAGGAAATGCATGTTATTTTTAAGTCTCTTTTATAAGTTCAGTAAAACTAAAAGCCTTTGCTTCCTGTGCATTAATTCCTTCTGTTTTTCCCTTTTATGGTTTTGTGAGTTCATCATCAATTATACATCACATATTTTTTTTCTTTTTTAGAGATAGGTTAAACCATTTAGTCATATTCATTTCCTAAATCACCAAATGGGAAAGCATATATTTTAGCAAAATGTGACTGCTGCAGAAAAAGGACCACATCATCTGTACATAGTTCTGATGCTTTGTTTAGTCTTTTATTTCTGGCCTCCCAAATGTTGCTTTAGTGGCTTGGGGAGCATTGGTCAAAAAGAACTCATTCAATGCAACAGTCTGACTGAGGATGCTGTGCTACTCAAGCCTCAGGGAGAGAATAATCTCTGTCACACTGACAGTATACTGGCAGAGCACTTGTCTGACCAACCTGGGTCTGATCCCCAGCACCTATATGGTTCTCTGAGCCCTGCCAGGTGTCAGCCCTGAGCACAGTCTGGTATATGGTTCTCTGAGCCCTGCCAGGTGTCAGCCCTGAGCACAGTCTGGTGTGGCCCCCAAATCAAAACAAACCAAACAACACACACACACACACACACACACACACACACACACACACACACACACCTTTCTTTCATTCTTCGTTCTCCTTTTTTCCATTTGCTTTATTCTTCCTTCATTTACTCATCCTCACTTTCTTCTCTCTCTCTTCTTTCTGCTGATTTGATTTTTTCCAACTACACAAAATGATTTTTTGTGAGTTTCAACAAAAACGGATGTGGTGGGGTGTGAGGGATTAAACGTTCAGTGGCCAAGAGCTGCCTCCCCAGGCTGGACGGTGACAGCGACTACGGATAGAGGAAGGACCAGGAGAATGGAGAAAATGGGACATAGGGCTGGTCAGCTGTCGGTTTATTACTCTCTCCTCCCCTCATTGCCTGATATCTCCCCTTACAGCACAATTGTAGTCGTAGTTTGGGTCATAGTCCAGTCATCTTAGTTCCATCATCCCAGTCTCCTCAGACCTCAATGTCCTCTCCTTCACTATCTCCGTCCTTGTCTCAGAGTCTTCTACTTACGGCATTGTCATCATCTAGTCCTCCTTCTATTCCCAAAGTCCCCAAGTCCCCAAAGTCCCCAAAGTCTCCAAAGTCTCCAAATTCTCCAAAGTCTCCATTCTCCTCCTCTAGTTTCCAATGTCTAGACTCCTCTCACCCCTTTCAGCATAGTTATGTAGCAAACATGAAGGGTGAGGATACACAAATGTGGAGTTGAACACTATCATAGTGTTCATCATACAAACAGAGGTAAAGCCACTCCTTCAGGAGATTAACTCAAAGACAAAATCTCATCTGAGATTCAGTACTCCAGATTACTAGGAGTTCTGCTCAAGGGCAGATTCCATCCAGGGTGTATTGCTTTTTCCTTTCCTCAGCTAGTAATCCATTTAAACATTCATAGTAAATTTACTTATTATAATAGTTTGTCATTTTGTATGAACACAGTAAAAGACATATTAAGCTTAAAGTTTGACTCTTCCTGGGGACATCTCACCATATATTTCAGACCACAGTTCTCAAGTCAAGTTCGTCTTTCCTAAACCTAGCAGGGTCCTTATTCAGTTAGTTCTTTTTAGGTCATGTCAGTTTGTCCATGACCATGCTCTGAACTTATTATACTTATGGTGCTTAGCTTGTCTCCTTCTGATGCCAGGGTAGCTTACAATTTGACCTTGGTTCATCCAGTCCCTTCATCGGGACCCTGCTTTTGGAGTGGTAGGAACTAAGGGCCACTGAAGTTTAAGTCAAGTAAATATTACTATGTCCAGGAGTAAATATTATTTTGGAGTCAATTAACTCCCATGATACAAAACATAACATGAACTGTCTTCCTGTGCCTATATAAAAAGGCCATTGCTAAATAAACTGTGCAGATGACATTAAAAAAAGAAATATAGGAGTATTAGTGCTTGATGGAATTGGGTGTGCCTCGGGGGCACTGTTGTGGGAGTAGCTACCGGTTGGAGGAGCAAGAGCAAGAGTAGCACCCTGTTGGAGGAGCAAGGGAAACCCAATGTTATCCAACAATTTTTAAAATGTCAGCATTGAAAATAAGCTACATTTGTTGCAGTTTTGAAAGATTTTTAGCCGGATTGAAAACTGCAGAGTTTGTGAGGTATTTCTTAAGGATAAGAAACTTACTCAATAAAATACGCTATTAAGGAATGAATATGCTGCCACACTGAGGGTGACATTCCAACAATAGTGCTGGAATGTTAAAAAATATTCTTTAAAGTTGCATGTTTCCAGAAAGAATTTTAATCATTATATAGAAGACTCGAGTGGGCCCAGTAACGTCTCCCTTGGAGACTTTGTTGTTACTGTGTCTGGCATATCGAATACTCTCGGTAGCTTGCCGGGCTCTCCGAGAGGGGCGGAGGAATCGAACTCGGGTCAGCCATGTTGGCCGCGTGTAAGGCGAAAGCCCTACCCGCTGTGCTATCGCTCCACATTGAAGACATGAAGTAGAGAAGTTGAGCAGAAGTTCTAAGACCTACCTGTTTAAAAAATAAAATATTACAGATTATTTCTACAAAAATATACTATTTTTGGGGCAGAGCAACAGTACAGTGGGTGGGGTGCTTGCTTTTCATGCAGTCAATCTGGGTTCAATCGTTGGCATTCTATACGATCTCTGAGCACTGTCAAGAGTAATTTCTGAGTTCAGAGCCAGGAGTAACTCCCGAGTGTTACTGGTTGTGGCCCAAAACAAACAAGGCAACAATAAACATACTGTTTTAAGCAAATAATGCTTTGAATACTTTAAATAATGACAGTACAAGACCAGAGATATAGTACAGCACACAAGGCACTTGCTTTGTACATGACCAACCTGTATTCAGTCCCTGGTACCACATATGGCCCCCCAACTGAGCTAGGAGTGAACCTTGAGTGCAAGGCCAGGAGCAAACTCTGAGCACAGTCAAGTGTTTTCTACCAACCACAACAAAACAAAACCAAAAAACAATGAAACTACTGAGCCACTTTTGAAAGAATCATTATGTAGAAACCATAGATGGCAATTCTTATCATGGTGGTGTTAAAATCAGTTCTAAAGGGGCCTGAACAACAGTCCAGCTGGTAGGGCATTTGCTTTGCATGCAGTCAACCCAGGTTTGATCCCCAGAATCCCATATGGTCCCTCAAGCACTGCCAGGGTTAATTCCTCAGTGCAGCCAGGAGCAACCCCTTAGCATTGGGTGTGACCCAAAATGGAAAAAAAATGCAAACAAAACAAAAAACAACTGTGAAAAGAAAATATAATAGCAGGAGAGATTTCCAGATAGCTTATTGTTTATGTAGGAATAACCTAGTTTTTTTTTTTTGGGGGGGGAGCAGTTCTGATAATAAGAATACATTAAAAATTATCCCAGAAAAATTTCCTTTTTATTACCATCAAAGTACTTATTTTAATTATTGAAATTCAATATAAATTCATACCCTAAAACATAAGTATTTATGTTCTTATAAACCAATGTTTTCTCAATGGAAAAATACAGCTAATTTGAAATAGCTATAAAAAACTGAAATAATTATAAAAAGAAAAGCATGCCATCTGTGGTTCTTGAGGATATTAAATTGCAACATTGAATTGTCTAATCTTATACTCAGATGATCTGAAATATTATCTTTTCTTATTTAAGACATCCAATGACACCTTTGAAATTCCTCTCATGTTAACTGGAAATGTAGTATTAAGAAAAAGATTAAACTATGAAGATAAGACTCGCTATTATGTCATCATCCAAGCCAATGTGAGTATTCAGCTTTTTTTTTAACTCCTCTGAATTAATGCAGTTTTTTTTTTAAATCATCTCTTATGTATACAATTGCTCTCTGAGAGTGTGCAGTACACTTCATAACCTCAACAGGGAAACTCTGGTGTTAGTGAAATTTAAATATAGTCTGTTGGTGGGAAATGGGATAGGATGAAGTGAAAGATAGTTTCCATCAGCACTGTTCTTCATTCTCAGAATCATTCATACCTAATCCTCTACTTGTTTTTAGTATTTTTATTAAGTTTGATAAACCAAGGATATGCAACAATCTCCAGGCAGTGGACCCTTAAAAAAACAGATTATTGGACACAATCTTAGACATCTCAATAAAATATTTAAAGGGTAAATGCATACTTGCATTTCTATTAACTTCTCATGGGATAAAGTCCACTAAAGGTTTTGAATAGCTGTTGAATAAGAAATGAAATTGTTTCTTTTTTTCATGACTATCATTTACTGTGTAGCTCCCCACTAGCTACTAGCTACACTATGACCATGAACTTTATATGTGGGCACAAATTAACAGGAAAAAATGTGTTTGCTTATTTTAACTAGCTAAATAATTGTATCTCAAGTTGTTTCAAAAGTTAAAGTATATTCGCAAAGGCCTATTATTTGTCTCCTTATACTCTGCCTTTCTTTGAAATTTGGCTGTTTTACCAATTCCTTATTTCCCAGAACTAGTGTGAATCATACCATAAGCACCACAACTATGAATGAAGTAAGAGTGTAAGCAGGTGGAGGAATGTGGGAAGTAGAATTCTTTGTGTATGTTAGTTCTTTCTCATTTAATCTGAGAGAAAAAAAAATCCAAGCATCTTCTCCCAGCCAATTTCTCCAGCTCACAGCACTGGATCACTTAAGCAAGCATTGCAGGGATGTTGTCTGGTGTGGAGGCAATGAAAAGAGAGACTTTTTCCAAAAAGTCAGCATTTCAGGAAAGAAATTTGAGGAAGTATATAAAAGGAATGAGTAAAATGCTTTTCTCTGTTTTACACAGTTTGGTTGATGTTCTAGATCTGAGCATCAGGATACAGTGATGACCTAAAAACCAATTAAGAAAAAAGATTGTTCTGAAAATACAGTACTGGGCTTAAGGGCACTTGCCTTGCCTGGTTTCATTGCCTTTAGAAGACTGTCACAAGTGATCCCTGAACTTAAGAGAGGAATAAGCCCTGAATACCGCCAAGTGCGGGCCCAAAACTACACTCCACACTCCACCCTAACCCTCCTCGCTCGCTCATCCCCCCCACAAAAAAAAAAGTAAGAAAAGAAAAAGGAAGGAAAACATGAGGTTGGATCAGAAAAATATTCTCTACTGGCTGTTCTAAGTTTATATACAACAAGGTATTCATGATCACAATCATCCTGTTGTTTGTCGATTGCCTCGAGCAGGCACCAGTAACGTCTCCTTTGTCCTAGCCCTGAGATTTTAAAGTGCCATATTCAGGGCTCTTTCAGCATTAGGAGAATGAGCCCCATCATTGTTACTGATATTTGGCATATTGAGTACACCATGGGGAGTTTGCCAGACTCTGCTGTGTGAGCAGGTTATGTTCGGTAGCCTACCAGGTTGTCCAAAGCAAGAATGAGATAATAAGATGTCTTCCGGGAGCTGGGTTTTATAGTCTCTGGGTCTTGGCCGTTGATGGGATTACATGGTGCCAGGGGGCCAGTTGGTGGTTGTGACCCCTGCCTACTGGAAGATAGAGGATCTGAGTGGAGGATGCTCAGCCCCGATACGAGCAGGCTTGCTTGGAAATCTCAGCCCCGGGACCCGCATGCCTATGTTCCTCTGCCGTTACCTTCATGCGTGTGGAGAATGATCTCAGCATGATTGTGGCTGGTTCTGGAGGTCTTTGACTGCTGGAACTCGGCTCCGGGTAGGGAGAGAAACACAACAAGGTATAATGACTTAGAAACTTTTTATTTCTGTTTTAAGGATATTTTGAAATAATAGTGTGCATGTATGCATACAAATGATCTGAAATACACACTTGAATATGTGACTGGATACATATATGTAGAAAATGTATGGTTATTAAAAATGAAATGCTTACTTTTAAACTCAGCCTGTAATGGCATATTATTTTCCAAATTGCTCAATGTTATATTTCCACAAATTATCTTTTAAAAGCCCATTGCCCTTTTTATTAAAAATGTCCATTTTCTTTAACTTGCTTAAAGCAGTGTTTTATTTCACCTGGAAAATTGGCTCTTCTTTGATTCACAATATTGAATCAGATACTATATTACATTAAAAGGTAAAGGTAAAGGTAAAGGCCCTCCCGTTGATCGTCGATTTGCTCGAGCGGGCCCAGTAACGTCTCCATTGGAGACTTTGTTGTTACTGTGTCTGGCATATCGAATACTCTCGGTAGCTTGCCAGGCTCTCCGAGAGGGGCGGAGGAATCGAACTCGGGTCGGCCATGTTGGCCGCTTGTAAGGCGAACGCCCTACCCGCATGTAAATTTGTATTTGTATGTCAGTGACTGGTAATTGCTACCAATATTTTTTTAAATTACATAATACTTAAATACTAAGAATATAAATGTAAGGGGGTATGGTGCCACCAGCAGGTCAATCTGTACCTGTGAGGCAAGTATATCAGCAGTCTGATGGCACCTTCAGACTTCCAGGTACCCCCAAATTGCTGCCGTGCGTTTGGCCAGACCCCAAAGACTTGGGGCAGAGTTTCCCAAGAAAGTAAACAGGCAAAAGTTAGGTATGTGGGAGACACACCCACAAACCACCTTCAGCTCAGCTATATAATTAGAGGCATGGCCTCTCTGATTCCTGATAGAACTGCTTAATGGCCATGATCCCGAAGACTCAAAAACAAATCTCAAAACCCAATGGATTTTGGCAGAAATTTGTCCAGTCCCTGCAGTAGGTACCGGCGGCGCTGGGCCACCCCAGGAGGGAATAGGTTTTGTGCCTTGGCCTGTTCCCCTTGGTGGCCCGGTGGCCGCCATCCTCCAGAGGCCACTGGACAGTCAGGTTTGGACCCACAGTGATGAGACATGCAGGGTCTCACGGCATGGGGGTGGAGCACTATCCTCCCCACCCCAACGCCCCAAGCCATCGCCCACGAGCAGCCTCTCAGGCTCCTGATCAAGCTGCTTAACAGCCATGATCCCAGAGACTCAGAAACAAATCTCAAAACCCAGTGGCTTTTGGCTGAAATGCGTCTGGATCCCACAGTGTATTACTGTCACCGGGCCACCCCAGGGGGACAACCGGTGTTGTGCTTCCACGTGCTCCCCGTTGGCCGCTCGGTGGCTGCCATCTGCCAGCAGCCATTGGAAAGTCAGGTTTGGGCCCTCAGTACAAGACATACGGGACCTCATGGGATAGGGGCGGAGCCGACCCTTTCTTCCCCATTCTAACGAGCCCCTGAGCCACTGCCCACCAACAGCCTTTCTCTCTCCTGATCAAGCTGCTTAATGGCCATGATCCCAGAGACACAGGAACAAATCTTGGAACCCAGCAGGTTTGGGCAGAAATCCCTCCAGACTTAAGTGTTAAAATTTCAGAATTTCAAAATCGGGCATCCACTACTGCAACCACGTGACATCATATGTTATTCTTAACCAGCAATAGAAAACAAATTGTCTACTGTTGCCTTTACAGCAGATCTGAGTGTTGGGGTAAAATCCCAAATAATAATGGTGGGTCTGGTGTCAAAATATTGAATATCACCAAAGTAGAGAGAGAGTATTGTGGAAATCATCTGATCCACAGGTAGGGGGAGGATGTGGGATGGGAGTATACTGGGGTTTTTGGTGGTGGAGAATGGGCACTGGTGAAGGTACAGGTGTTTCATTGTATGACCAAGACTTAAACCTGAAAGTATTGTAACTGCTGTCAAGGTGATTTAATAAATAAAATCATAAAAAATGAAAAAGAAAGTAAGTTGGAGTTTATACTCCTACGTTTAAAAAAAATAAATGTAAGAAGGCTTTTTATTTCAAACTTCTAGAAACATTTTCTCAAAAGAAACCAGGGTATCCATGGGTTTGTCTATGGTCAATTGAAACTGAGTTTTGTGCTGGAAAGATAACACAGAAGTGAAGACAATTGTCTATCTTATTGCTGATCCCGGTTTGACCCTGACACTACATCTGATCTGTTTCTCTTAGCCCTGAAGGAAAGACCTCTGATTTCAGAGTCAGAAGTACAACATTTTAAAAAAAGAAAGAAAGAAAGAAAGAAAGAAAGAAAGAAAGAAAGAAAGAACCAAACACCACAATTTAAAAACAATTTTATACAATTTTATTTTTTTCTAGAGTTTGCATCTTTCTTGGCTTCAAAAACCAGTGTTTAAATTAAGACAATTCTAAATATAGATCAACCACTGGAGATATTAGAAATCAGCATTTGTCTGTACTTTGATAAAATTAAAGTAAAAAAATATAACAAAATGATAGCTGAGTGTCTTACGTAATATTTCTCAGGTGTTCTATTGCCTTAAAATTATTACAGTTGAAATATTTGCAATTTTCTAAGAATGTTCTCTGTAGAAAGCACATTGGGATAATGTGCTATCTCTGAATCACTGTCATCCTGTTAGTTGTCAAATTACTCGAGTGGGAACCAGTAATGTCTCCTCTATTTCTCTCAGTCCAGAGATTTTAGCAGCGTCTTCTTACTTGTCTTTCCCCAACGACTGGAGACTATTTCAGGGTCGGGAATGAGACTTATTGTCGTTACTGTATTTGGATATCAAATATGCCACAGGGAGCTTGCCAGGCTCTACCCGTGTGGGTGGGATACTCTCGGTAGCTTGCTGGGCTCTCTGAGAGGCATAAATGGGTAGGAAGTTTCTTATAATGTGTCGCACGTTGGCAAAGCAGCCAAGGGGTCCAGAAAGCGGCTGGAGCATGGTGGTGGTTGGGCGGGTGAGTTTGGCTGCCAGGGCTGGGTCCTTTAGCGCGGGGAAGACTCTCACCCTCCCCACAGCCTGGTGCGGAGTCCAGTGGCATGGTTATGGGAGCCTCCTTTTATACTCCTGTCTCGGAGGAGCATCCTGAGTTCTGGAGGGTAGCTGATGAGGAGATTATCTGGTGCTAGCAGGAGATAATCTGGACTCATGAAAGAATGAAGTCCCAGGAAACCCAGATAATGTTGAACTTTGTGACCTTGGACTCTGGACTTAACAGAACCTGGAACAGAGATCCTCTGCCTGCTTCCCCCAGTCTCTGGTGACTCAGGGATCACACCCATAAACCACACCCTGCTGGCACCAGATATTCTCCTCATCTGTCACCCTCCAGAACTCACAGGTGCGGGAGTATAAAAGGGAGACTCCCAGAACCATGCTAACGCTATGCTTTTTATTAAATTAGTTTTCTTTGAGGTTCTTTTAGGTATCTCTTTTTTCCCTAACAGATTAAATAGCCATTGCAGAATATTGATGATCATTCCTTCCTTATTTTGTAAATGATTTATTCAAGAACTTTGGGGTGTCTTGGCTATATCAGGTATTGCATTACAATGTGATTCTCAAGAGTTTTAAATTTTGTTATCATTATGTGGTACTAAAGGATTGGAGGACCTGAATAAAAATGCTAAGGGTTCAGATCATTTCTCAGTGAGGGATAGAAGTTCTGGCCAGGTCAAGTGCCACAATCTGATGAATATTCTATATGACTTTGAAATTCCTTAGGTTGATGCTATGTTTGTCATTAAATTTCTACAAGTCAGATTTAATGCTGAATTATTCTCTATTTGCCTGTTATTTTCTGCATAAATGAGCGAGTGATTGCTAAAGGTTTAGCTTTATAGAAGCTAATTGAATATTTAGTGTAACCAAATATTTAATGTAGAAAATTATAATGTTATGTGAAATAATGTACATTTAAGAAAATAAAATTTGAAAAATAGAAAATTTTCAAAGATATATTCTTGCTTGCTAGTTTTAGTTTTCTAAACTGATGAAAAATTTAATTTTAAATATGTAAATATTTTTAAATGAACGTTAGACAGAGTGGCATCTTGAACTCCCGAGATACCTCAATGAGCTTGGTTATTGTGTGGATATGGTCGATGGTACTGAATCCTTTTCGGAATCCAGCTTGTTCACATGGTTGTCCTTCATCTAGTGTTCTGCTAATCCTATTCAGGATGACTTGAGCGAATAGTTTGTAGATGACAGACAATAGGCAGATTGGACGATAGTTGCCAATGTCGTGGATGTCTCCTTTCTTGTATAGTAGTACAGTCTTGCTGGTTTTCCATTGGGATGGATCCTTGCATTCAGACAGGTAGTGTGTGAAGAGTCGAGCCAATGTATTGATGAGTACTGATGGTAAGTTCTTCAGGTGTTCAGGTCTGATCTTGTCTGGGCCAGGTGCTCTTTGTTTCTTTACCGACGAGATGGCATGTTGGATTTCGGAAGGGAGAACATTGGGAACGACATATCCATCATGTGGTATGTGGTATGTGGGCAAGTGGATGTGGCTATTAAAGAGATCTGAGTAGAAGTCATGAATAATCTTCTCCATTGCCCTTCTGGAAGATGTGATAGATCCATCATGATGTCGGAGGGCAGTCATCTTGGTTTTGTAGTTGGTGAAGGACAGGCGGGCATTACGAATGTTTTTCCCAGTTTTTTTTTCCCATTTGCTCTCAACGGAACCACCATCTCCGAATGCAACAGTTATATATACCTTCTTCGAGAAATCAACATGATGAATGACCTGGCACCTGAGTTGCGCAGGAGGAAGAGAGCAGCTTGGAATGTCTTCAAGAGCATTGAAGAAATAACTAAAAGGACAAAGAACCTCCAGCTACGAGCACATCTCTTTGATTCCACTATTCTTCCTGCATTAACATATGCCTCAGAGACCTGGACCCTACGTAAACAGGACGAGAACACTATTCGGGTCTCTCAAAGAGGAATCGAAAGAACTATGCTTGGAATATCACGATTCACTCAAATGAGAGATAGAATCCGGAGTTCTGATCTTCGTCAACGCTCAAGAATCAGGGACGCTGTCTCATTTGCCAAGACATCAAAAATCAGATGGGCTGGACACGTAATGAGGTTTACAGACAACCGCTGGACTAGAGCCATTACTGGTTGGATTCCACGAGACATCAAAAGATCACGTGGAAGCCCACCTATAAGATGGTCAGACTTCTTCGTCAAGACCCTAAATGATCGGTTTGAGGCTCTACATGTTCCTAAAACGAACAGATACCATTGGGCTACGCTAGCACACTACCGGGATGAATGGAGTCGTTACTGGCACCCGCTCGAATAAATCGATAAATAACGGGGATTAAGTGATTAAGTGATTAAGTGATAAGTGATGTAAATATTTTTAAATAATTTCTTAATTTTTAAAAAAGAAAAAATGAATTAAGAACAAAAATGGAGAATAGTTTTCTGGTAAATTTTAATAGGCATTGAAGTCTTATATAGTAGTGAATAAATATGTGTGACTATCAGGGTAGTTATGTAGAAATAAGTCATTATTTTATTTATACTTTTTCCAAAAGGAGAAAAAAACTCTTAGCTAAAATTTGATATCTTTTGGATTATTACTATTTATTTCAGTCAAGCAAGATAGTTTTTAATTGAACATAATTTATTTATAAAAACATGAAAGGAGAGAAAGGAACATCTGTTCAAGAGAGGACACAGGTTGAGAGGGCAAGGCCAGGATCTTGTGAATTATAAGAACAAAGGACAGGCTAATAAGAGAAAAATAGTCCATTCATATGTATATGTGAACAAACAAAAAAGTGCCTCCCTCTTCAGCTCAATATTAAAATTTGTTTATCTAAGGTAAATGATGGTGGATGATGACAGGTGGGCAGAGGAGAGAAAAATTGTCTTTTCCCTTCTTTTCTTTTCTTTTCTTTTCTATTGAATCACTATGAGATACAGTTACAAAGCTTTCATGTTTAAGTTTCAATCATACAATCAAACACACATCCCTTCACTAGTGCACATTCTCCACCACCAATGTCCCTAGTATACCTCTCCTTTCCAATCCTCCCCCTGTTTCTATGGCGGACAATTTCCCCCATATTCTCGCTTTACTTTTGGGCAGATTCTCATTCATATCGAAGGAGAGAAAAATTTCATGGTAAAGAAATTATTCTATAATTTCTAGGGAGAAAATTTGTGATAATATTTATCTGTGTAGATGTCTTGTTTGATTTTTCTTAGTCATAGAGTTCCTATATCGAGGAATTACTAGGCATCCTCACTTCAAGAAATCTTTTTTGTTTGTTTTTAAGAGGGATAAATATAGCCCCAGGAAACTCCTATTCCTTTACAATGAATTTTAAATGATTTTAGTTTAAAATATTCTCTCTATAAAGTATGCAAGTCTAAGAGTGCACATTCCATAGTTTGAATGATTAAAATTTTAGTTCTCATATTTTGATCACAATCTTAAAATAGATCTGCACATCACAGTTAAAATACAGACAGGCTGTCATTGGAAAATTCCACCAGTAGATGTTCCTGCTGTTTGATATCTTACCTTAGAACACCTACTTTTGTGACCTTCTTGAACAACTTATTCAGGAGAGAACCTTTTGGAATGAATGAAATATTGCATGGAGCTGAAAAGGAAGACTTGCTTTTCTTTGTTTTTTGGGCTACAAGGACTGTGCTCACGGATCACTCCTGGCAGAGACTTTGGATATCAACTGTGGTTCAGGACATTGAACTGGGGTAATCAGGGTGTGAGAGGAGCACCTTAGCCCCTGTATTCCTGTACACAATTCCAGCAGCTCTAATGAGGTCCATTTTTAAATAGGAAAAGAGCTTAAGGGTCAATGTTTTACATAAACAGATGCAAGTTTGAAACCCATCGTGAAAGCAACATATGTCTAAAATATTTTTAAAAAGAGAAAAAAGTTTATATAATCCTCAAAGGCTTACAGGCCATTTCTTTCTCTTTTCTCTCTCACAGGACCGTGCTCAAAATCTGAATGAACGGCGGACCACTACCACGACCCTCACGGTGGATATTCTGGACGGAGATGACTTGGGTCCAATGTTTCTCCCTTGTGTCCTTGTGCCAAACACTCGTGACTGTCGACCACTTACCTATCAAGCTGCCATACCTGAGCTAAGAACTCCGGTAAATGTCATCTCATCTTTTCTTCTTCACTTAAGTCTCTTTAACGTAATAAAACTTTGTTCAAGTATTTTGTAGGGACACTAAGTGCGAATAGCAAACTGAACACTAAGTGATTGAGAAATAACTATGGGAATATTTTTCACAAAGAATGGGAATTTTTTTCAATATAAATTATACAAAGTGGAAAGTATACCATACACAACAAATCATCCGAAAATTAATATTGTTTAAATATTTTCAATAGCTCAGATGATAAGATAGTCTTGGAAATTCCAAATCATTTAATTCCAGTTTTTCCTTAATTCACATGTAAATATGGAAGTCTTAAGTCAAGGGATCACTGTATCACTGTATCACTGTCATCCCGTTGATTGTCGATTTACTCCAGTGGGTGCCAGTAGTGTCTCTATTCACCCCAGTCCTGAGATTTTAGCAGCCTCTCCTTACTCATCTATCCCAATGATTGGAGGCTCTTTCAGGGCCAGGGAAATGAGACCTGTTATAGTTACTGGTTTTGGCATATCGAATACACCATGGAGAGTTTGCCAGACTCTGCCTGTCATGCGAAGGTATATTCAGGCACAAAAGACACTATTAGTTTTTAAAAAATTTGAAGTAATATTGGTGAATTTACCTTATGAATTGGAGGTGGGTGTTAATAAATCCTTAATGCAATCTTTATTTCTTAAATACGCATTGTCAAGAAATAGGAATGTGAGGAATGAATGAAAATTTTCTGCTTTTGATTTTGCATTGGTTGTTTGCTTTTACCTTTTTCTAACTCTAACGGGGCTATAAATTGTTGTCAGTCTTGATTTCACATCTTAGATACCTCCTTCAACAGCAGATATTCACATGAAATAATAAAAACTATAAGGAAAATGGCTATCTCATGATATGTCAACATATATCCTAAAGTAATAATGATGATGATGATGATGATAGAACTGTCAAGAGTTAAAACCACTAAGAGATAATTCTGCAAAGCCTTGGCTTTTTGAGTTAATAATGTCTTCTGATGTTAGAATTTGTTGGAAGGTATATTTTTTCCAAAATATAAAAAGTGTGGTTTGCAGAATTTTAGTGTTTATGAGATTTTAAAGAATATAACAGTAATTCCTTCTCCAAAATGGATGTTGCCTTGCACTCCATTCTCTCTATAGAGTTCTTATCCAGTGTATTATCTATGGGCTCTACTAGCAGTAAATCTTAAAATAGCTGACAAGTCACTTTTGTATCTATTGGCATAGATGATCACTGATCTAGATGGCTTACATGAGCAAAAAAAACGAAGCTGAATAAAATGGATAAAACTTTGGATAAAACTTATGATGCGTGATGAACAAATATAATAAAACATTTATCTAAGTGGAGTAATTGTATAGATAAAAAGGCTAGTGTAGAACTTTAAGGTAAAATAGTTGTGGATTATCAAATGATTTTCATATACTTAAATCATATACCTATCTGTTATTTTTTCATGGGCACGAGTGAAAAATCAGTGGTGCTAAACGTGAAACTTTTCTTTGAATAATTTATTGAAGTCCTGGGAAATTTTCAGAACAAATTTGTGTACCAGTATGCAGTTGGATCCTAAGATAAAAGACTTATAATTATCACTTATTATTATCAATTATTATAATGACTCAATTTTATTATTTTTTTTGTTAACTGTTCTCAGTATTGAGGGAAGTAAAGGAAGGTAGGGCTTTGCTATGTAGAGGTAGAAACTATTGACTTTCTAAAAAAATTTGCACATTTCTTATTTCATATTATAGACAAATACATTTCTCATTCCTACTTCAGTTTTATTCATAGACTATGCTCTAGCTATAGGATAATAATATACATAAAAACAATAGCTAATTGTTAAGTAGATTCTCCAGTTAATATGAACAATGCTATACAAAATACTAACTGAAATTCTTGCATTATTAATACTATCATGCTCATTTAAGTACATTTTCATAGATTTATAGTTAATTCTTTCTTCGAAATGGCATTTAATTTTTTATGAGAGCAAATATTCTGTAAGGTACAAGTGTTACCACACTATAAGCACTATTGAAAGTCAGTATTCCTCCTCCACAATTCATTGGCTCCTTCCTCTTACCCTTTCTTCACACCACCCCACACACATCCTAAATTCTTTTGTCAATGTCTAAAGGTTTATTTTCAATGGATATTATCTGCTCCTTGTCTTTGTTTATTTTATACACCACCTTGTTCATTTTACACATCACTTGTGTATAGTGTATAAAATTAAGCGATCACATCATACTTGCCTTTCTCCTTCTGATCAAGTTATTTAAATAAGATCTTAACAATTCAAAATCATCGGTATTCATCATTTTATTTTATTGTTATTTAATTTTCTACTGTAGACACAGTCATTTACAATATGTTAATAATGTGGTTTTATGTATACAGTGTTCCAATACCATACCACCAGGGTCTGCTTCCCTCCACCAATGTCTCAAGGGCCCACCCTCTGTTTCATTATTTTAACAGATCCATCCATTGCTTAACGTTTTGTAGCAAAAATCACTTTATATATATAATTAAATAACTACTGTAAATATTGATAGCTTTATTTATATCAGATAAAGTATAATATGTTTATTAGAAAGTATCAATGAATTCTGTCAACCAAATCCTGCATTAAAAAAAGGTCGAAAAAATTTACTTCAAACCACTGTCTTTATATTTATCATAAAATACAAATTTGGTAGACTTGAGAAAAGGAACGCATTCATTACATTCAGCATTAACTGGGCCACAATGACCAACGGTTGGATTCTAGTTTCTAAATGGTTAAAGAATTACTGAGTTGATTCTGACTACTGATATGAGCCACTTGCTTGACTAAGGCTGTGATTTAATGGCTTCATTTTCATTCCTTGTGGTCCTGAATCTCAGAGGGTCTTGTAACTTTCTAATATCAAGGCTCTTGTTTCCAAAATAAGCCTCTCAAGAGAAATAGAAAGAACATGTATGAGCTAGCTTTAAAAGTTCTGGTGTTATTTGTGCTGTTGTCAAGTCTCTAATAGAATTAAGGAGTATAAGAAAATAAAATTTTATGTGGCAAGTTTTAGAGACAAAATATTAGACATTATCCTGAGACCAGGTACCCAAAATCAATCTAAATGACATTTTGAAACCCCTGTGAACAACTAATATTAAGCACTGGAGTTAGTTTTAGAGTTTCACTTTTAGATTGTTCTATTTATGCCTATCTTTACATTCTTATTTTATTTGTCTTTTTCTCTGTACAGTGTGTTAAAAATTTCAAGAAATTTTAATTAATGGATATTGCTGTTCAGAACAGAGAACTAGCCATTTATATCAGCTAAGAAGGACATGATGACTCTTAATTACACACTTGCTGATCCTTTTCTGAACCAATTCTTCAAATTTTGAAAGCTTGACATCTGCTCACCTTGTGTAAAATTTTCCACCAATTACTCAATGGTATTCTTGTCTTGATAAACCATTGTTCATTCCAGTACAATGCATGTAGAATTCATCAATTTAAAATAACTTAAAATACTAGTAGTGTTTAACTTGATCCAGAATAAAAATTAAAAATGCAATTGATTGAATTTAAATAATAATTTTTAATGAACTGACTTAGCAAATATTTCATGTATTTTCTACTAGATACAATTTCCGTAAAAAATGTCTTCTAAGTCACTAAAAATACTATGTTAGAGATAAAAGCTTAAGTATGTATGGTTTTTCAGAGATCACAAAGCAAAGTTAATTCATATTCTAATTATTATTCATTTGTTTACTTGAGAAATATCTACTGGACCCTCATGTATATGTTGAACTCTAAGCTAATTGAAGAAACTCAAAAACTGGGATGAGATAAAACTTTAAAATATTCTATAAAGTTTGTGGTGATGGTGTTCTCCTCAGTGGGACTCAGAGGTACAGGTAACTCTGGGCTATATTCAGCCTGGTGGTGTAAGCCTGATGGTACTTGTGCCCACCTATGCAATGTTGATTGGGTCCAGTTTTGTGGACCACCATAGCTGCACACAGCTTAGGGTCACCAAAACTATATGCAGTGTTGCTTGGAAGACCGTGTTTTACTGGGAATAGGACTCAGGACATTATGCCTTTAAGGAATGCCTTCCAGTTCTCAGAGAAATCTTTGCACCCATAGTGTACAGTGTTTATTCTAATTTGGTTACTCTTAATTATACATATGCCTACCTGAAATATTCCGGTATAGAAAAAATATATATATTGTTTGGGTCATATAGAATCGTGACTCTGCTTTGTTGTGTGATCATCACACGACCAGGAGTCCCCTGGCTCTCTCTAGCAGCCTGTGTTGGGTGGTCTTGCACCATTTCCCCACTCGGGAAGGCCAATACCAAGGGCGGGAGAAGGAGCAAACGAGGGCCAGGCTGGTTGGTGAACAGTTGCAGTTCATTCTCCCCACGCCTGTTCCAGTCTCATTAAGCGCCCCATTCCAGTCTCTTCCTGTGTCTCTCCACACTCCAACTCGCAGCCTTGGTCTCTCTCTAGTCTCTCACCAAGTCCAGTAGCATTGTGGGTAGCAACCACACCCAGGTCAGGTAACACAACCAACATATCCAAGCCCTTCCTGATCGCCTACAGCCAGGGGATCAGTCCAAGGGCAAAATGACTCTTAGGGGGTTTTCCTCCTTTCCTTGGTCCAATGACTTAATTAACATCTTAATTCCACTTCTTAATATTAGTTATTTTGTATGAACACAGTAAGAGATACATTAAGCTTGCAGGGTGCCTCTCCTGGGGACATCCCACTATAGATCTCAAACTACAGTGCTCAGGCCAGATTAGTTTTTCCTAACCCTAGCAGGGTCCTAATCCAGCAGTTACTTTTTGGATCATGACAGTTTGTCCATGACCATGCTGTTAACTTATAGTTAAATATTATGGCACTTTGGCCAGGCCCATTTCAATGCCAGGTAGCTCACAGCTTGCCCTGGGGGTCATCCAGTCCT